TTGCCAGCTCATCCAATGGTTTCGGATACTGAGCAACGTCGGAGAAAACACAGGAAGGAGAATCGACGGAGGAAGTGGGAGAAGTTGAAGAGGCAGAAACCAAAGGCTCCAGTCCGCAAACCCATCATCAGGGGGGTTGAAGCCGTAGAAACTATGATGAATGGACCCCAACAATTTTACAACGATAGATCCAGACAACATGATGAGCAAACATCCGAACTTTACCAATCCATCTCGCATAGCATTGCCAAGGAGTTCAATGACTTCAACGAGAGCACTGCTGAGATGGCGGTTCCAGAACCACATCACCCAGGACTTCCAGGACACGGGACTTTGATCGAGTTCTGTACTTCTTCAGATTCCATGATGGGAAGAGTTGGAAAAGATCTTGGGATTCATGTCATAAGATGTTCTGAGAATCATTTGAATGTCGAAAGTGATGAAACTATCAAAGTCCTTGACGGCATCATCGAAACCAAACCTGGTGCTGACCTTTGGGGTTCATTACCATGTGGGCCTTGGACTCAGTGGCAGACGCTCAACGTGCATTTGTATGGTGATGACTTCGCCAGCAGATTGTCCGAGAGGCGTAAGGTGTCAAGAAGGTTGGTTAAACGGTTTTGTCGTTTGGCTCGCGCTGTAGCGCGAAAGGGAGGTCGAGTCACATTCGAATGGCCTCGACACTGTGTTGGTTGGGCATTGCAAGAACTCCAGAAACTTATTCGGGATCTCAACATGATGATTGTGGATTTTGATGGGTGCCAAGTTGGATTGACTGACTCAAAGGGTGATCTTCATTTGAAGAGGTGGAGGTTGATTACTACATGCAACCGTACTGCTAGGATCTTTTCAACGTTGAGATGCAATCATCCAGCTGATTTCCAACATGCCCCCATTTCAGGATCAAGAACACGCCTCACTGGTTTCTACCCCAAGGAGATGTGTGAGTATGTAATGCATGCGATGTATCCTGATATCATCTCACGACATGTCCCAGCCATGCCAGTCACACAAGTGATAGAGCAAACAGTTGAACACCGGGAGCGTGAGCCTGAAGAGGGACGAGATGGTGGTGTCTTCATTTACAATTCAGCCGACCCCCTTGCAGCAGCCGCAGCTGAGGGCCTGGATGAACCTGCCGATGATGAGGCTGAGGACAAGGAATCCAGGGATGATAGACTGAAGAGGGAGGCAACATCATTAGAACACATCACATTGCACGCCAAGAAGAATCCATTTTGCCCACATTGCCAAAGAGGTCGAATGATCAAACGATATGCTCATAGACATAGACCCGAACCTGAGGACGAAGAGGTTGCGTACAGTATTGCAAAGGAGTTTGGAAGCATCATTGAGGCTGACCACATTTTTCCAGCGGTTGAGTCTAGGGGGCTTGGTGGTGAACAGTCCGCCCTCTTAGTGCGAGACAGATACTCTGGAATGTGTTTGACATACCCTCAACGAACACGCAATGAAGATAGCAACTATGATGCGTTGAAACATTTTGGTGGCAACAAGTTGAACGGTAACCCAGATGTTGTATTCCACTCCGACACAGCCCAGGAATTGACCAATGCTGCATCAAGACTGGGATGGGTGGCTGATCCATCAGCCGCCAATCACTGGCCACACAATGCCTTTGTTGAAAGAGAAATCAGGACCATCAAGGAGATGTGCAGGCCATCACACCTGCAGGCAGGTTTCCACAGAAGGCTCTGGACCATTTCCATCGAGTACACAGCCACTGCAAGATCCTTCTTCACTCTGGCTCCGATCACGGAGGATGAGAGAGACACAGAAGAGGGAAAGAAGAAACTTGGCAAGACGCGATGGGAAGTGGCCACAGGTAAACCTTTTGATGGCGTTTCTTATCCACTAGGCGCATTGGTTTTCTATCGTTCCAAAGGGGATGGCATGGCAGAGCCCACAACTCGTCCGGGGTTGTTTGCCGGCTGGCACCTATCCCCTGGGCTTCGGTATCGTGGCAATGTGAAGATTTTGGACTATGAGTCTGTCAGAGAGAGAGGGCACTTGCACTGGCAACCACGTGTGATGCATGAGAAGGAGGTCTATTTCCCTCCAACAGAATACATTGAATTTCCTCTTGCATTAGCTGCACAAAATGCCATGTTGCAAATGACGGATGAGGAGAAAGAAGTCAAGAAAGCCATCTATGATAGATCTTTCGTGGAAGGGGTGTTGCCATATGACGTGTGCATTGATTCTTTTCCTGTTGACGCACCTCCACCTCCTCCAAGACACGCTTACATAACATGGTCAAGGTTGATGAAACATGGCTTCACCAGGGGATGTCCAGGGTGCTCCATGGGACACAACAGACACTCACAAGAATGCAAAACAAGGTTTGACGCCATCTTCTCCAGACGTGGCGAATCAGTGGGACCAACTCCGAGACCAATACAGGATGGTGTTGAAACTGAATATGAACCATCCATAGCTCCAGATCAATTCCCTGAAGATGAAGTACCCATATGCCCACCGAGGTCTGATGATGAAGAAGAGCTGCAACCAGCAGCGGTCACCAGACAGCTCCCGAGGTCAGAGGTTCTCTCGCGTCCTGACGCGATAGCCGCGATCAAGAAGGAGTTTGACGGTATTGGGGACATGGGCACATGGGATTTGGGATCGGTTGAGGAGGAAGAGATGGTGAAAAGGCGAGCCATAGAGAATGGCCAGACTATCCACCTAGCAGACCTACTAGCCATATGTAGTGAGAAGAACGTTGAGCTAGAACCAAAGTTCAGAACCCTCAAGGGTAGAGTATGCTACAGGGGTGACGCAGCGAAAATTGCAAAAGGAAATGTCGCGCTATATCAAACCATGAGCGCGTCCCCTGCTTCGATCACTGCGGCTAACGCCATCATAGCATACGGTCTGTTGAAAGGCCACAAGATTTCATCAGCAGACGCCATCAAGGCTTACCTTCAGAGCGTTTTGAACTCATTGGCCGAAACTTGGGTCAGGTTGCCCAGAGAAGTTTGGCCGGAAACTTGGTTTGACTCAAATGGAAAGCCTTTGTACCGGAGGCCAGTCATCAGGCTGCTTCGCAGCTTGTATGGGCATCCAGAAGCTGGAGCACATTGGGAAAGGAAGCTGGAGCAAGAGTTGGTAAATATGGGAGCCACGAAAATTCCAGAATTCCCAAGCACATATGTGTTTCCTTCCAACGGGCATTTGGCTTTGGTTGTTTATGTGGATGACTTCGTTTTGAGCGGAGACAGTTCATATCACGACTCCTTTTGGGCAGATCTTTCTAAAAGAATCATGTTGGATGACATTGGCGACCTGGGTAGGTTCTTGGGGAGACATCATTCAACAGTTGAGTTCAGAAATCAAGAGCTATTCGCATTCGACATGCGAGCCTATGCTGAGAGCATTGTCAATGACTATGTTCGATTAATAGGTCACGCAAAACTGAAGAGGGTTAGCACACCATTTCTCGCAAAGACCACTGTGCTTGAGGAGGCTCCGACTAAGGGCGAACTTGCAGGTTCAGCCAGTTCGGTGCTTATGAAACTGATGTGGTTGGCGCGATTGTCGCAGCCTGATATGCTGAGAGTAACCACCTGGTTAGCTACTAAGGTGCAGCAATGGACCACTGAGTGTGACAACCATCTTTTCAGGGCGATTAGTTATCTGAATGAAACAAAAGACCATTTACTCACTGGCCATGTAGATGATGATTTGAATGACATCTATGTTGAGCTTTTCTGCGACGCAGACTTTTGTGGTGATGACGAGCACACATATTCCACAACTGGTGGGTGGGTACAGCTAAGTGGAAAGAGCACCAGTTTTCCACTGACCTGGATGTCCAAAAAGCAAGGTGCGGTCTCCAGATCGACAACTGAAGCTGAGGCTGCGGCGATGGCTACTACTTTATTTGATGAAGGTCTGCCGTTGCTAGAGCTGTTTTCAGTATTATTCAGAAAGTCAGTGCGCTTGTTGATCAGAGAAGATAACGAAGCCACAGCAAAGGTGGTTTCTGCTGGCTATTCCAAGCGTTTGCGACATATGAAGAGAACACATCGTATAAACTTAGGTAGCCTCAAAGAGGAACTGGACAAGGACGATGTGGACTTGCAACTAGTTGCCAGTCGCTTCCAGAAAGCCGATATCTTCACTAAGGGATTGGCAGGTGAACTGTGGGGACCCGCGTTGGACCTTCTGGGAATAATCAATGGATATGTGGTCACTCGGACCACGAACACTGGTTTGAAGATCCAGGAGAATTTTGATGAGTCTCTGCAGCCTTCCTATGCTGAGGACAAGTCAAAACCTGTGCCTACTCAGGATGCTCCGAAACCCAAGGCCAATGTGAGAAGGAAGTACAAGAAGAAGGCTCCACGCATTCTTCCATACCAGAAAGCTCCAGAAGACTAGGTCGGTGCCGAACGTACCACTGGCCGGAGTCAATCGAGAGGGGGGAGTAGAAAATACTCGAATAACCCCTATGCCGTGTATGCATGTTCATACCACATAGTGGTCCCAAAACGGAGCCCACTATATTGTTGTTGCCTTTGACTGTAAAGTGTACATAATGTCAGGGTTTTTACAACGGGAATAGACTATTCAAATAGTTATCAACAATGATAACTCATTTCCTTAATCCTGTAATCCGGGGTTTTGGTCACCAAACCATTTACTTGGCCAACAACGTTTGGCTCAAGGTGCCCGCTAAAACAGGTGTTGTTGCTTAGTGTCACTGGCCATTGTTACATCTGTTGACTACTGCATCTTGAATACACGTGAATATTACTTCTGGTACAATCCCCGCATTCACTGGATTTACTGGAATTTTGTGTTAATAGGTAAATCAACCATAAATTGTCATTTTTCAACAACGGTATCATCATCCTTTTGGTTGGTTGAATCCTATTAAATCCCACTAAATATCATTATTGTTGGTGGTATTTGGTGGTGAAGCACGGTATTTCACCTTTTTTCATCGCTGAAAACACGTCGTTTTTGATGCCGAGGTCTGCCTCGTTGAGACGGGGATCGTGTCCGCCTTGCGAATAGGCCCGGTCCTCTATGTTTGTTTTTTTTGCCATTTTCATATTACATATAGATTTCCACAAATTATATGGCTATAAGCCTTTGTGAAGTTCTTGCGAATAGTGATAATGGATATGATAGGCCCTATATTCAGATGATATTCCCATATAAATTTTCCAGACATTTCCACACATCATATGGCCATAGATTCCATAGATCATGCATGATCATGCCATTTCATGCCATTTCCACCATAATTCGCATCAACCTTTGCAGCCTTGCAGCTACGCAGGCCTTGAGGGTCTTCAAATGCCGCAGGATTTGCAGAAGATGCATCGCTTGCTGGGCAGTTTATCTGAGGTGCCGATTTCAGCATCAGCATTCCGGAAAAATGTGGGGGTTCCCCAATATAGGTGAGATTGTTTTTTATTGGTTTATCACGGGTTATAACTAGGTTCATTGTGCTAGATATAGCTATGGTATTATCTTGGGATCATTTCTAACACTTGACAGATCCTCAACATCCCAACTATGCATTCAATCTTGAATTCCAACTATGGTCGGTATGTGTCTAATAGATTAACTAGATTAACAATGGTTAATATCAATTTATATCTGGTAGATACCCTCCAGCATTGGGTTCTGGGATTTCCCATATTTTCCCATGATTTCGCATTCAAACTTCAATTTATTGGGTGTTTTCCCATATGTTTCAATGATTTTCCCATTGTTCATGATTTTCCCACGGTTTTTTCATCAACAAACCATCATTGTTCATGATTTTCAGGGTTTTTTTCATGTTTTTTTTGGCCATGTTTCCCATATCTTTCCATAGTTTTCTCCCCTTCAAAAAGCTCCCAGTCGCTGGGCATTTCGCAACGCCAGGTCTGGTGGCGCCAGCAGCTGCGCGCCGCGCGCAACGCCTCGCTGGCGAAGAAGAATTCCAAGCGCGCCGAGCGCTTGGAGGAGACGCCGGTCACGCAGGCCGAGTGCCGGGAGGTGGGTAAATCGGTAGTGTGGGATTATCATAGGTAAACCATAGGAAAACCATAGGAAAATGGTGATTTAATGGTGGTTTAATGGGATAAATACCCTCTGGTTATGACTGACATAGCCATGGAAAATCGCCATGCTATTAATAGGTAAACCATCTATTCCTATGGGCCATCTATACCATGGCTATGTTAGTCATAACCAGAGGGCAGATGTAATATTAAATAGATAGTGATAATAATTAGGTATAACGAATATCTTATATTAATAAATAGTGGGTAAATATAATTAATAATAGATAGTGATATTTAATATTAGGAATATCATATTTAATAGCTACTATTAAATAGGTAGTGCTAGATATTAGGTGGAATCTCAACCCTGGATTAATAAACCCCAACGGCTGTTTAATTGGGAGGGCGCCATTTAAGTATCAGATGATGACTATTGGAGGAGTATCCCCCTAATTAATAAACCATAGTTTATTAATCCGGGGTTGACATTATAGTTTAGATATGCTTAGATGACTAATATGGATAAATGACTCTGGTACAATATCAATAAATCATGGATAGATATCATGCCATGGAATATGATCAATAAATATCTATACGTGGAATATCATGGAATAATATCCATGATATCTAGGAATATATATATATATTATTATTATATATATTAGTCAATCAATATCTATCCATGATATCTAGGTTTTTCAGCAATGCATGGAATACTCAGAAGGATATATACTTGTTGATCATTGATGGATGATGATAGTTGATGGATGGTTGATGATTATAGTTGATGGATTTGCTAATCCACTGGGGGAAGCAACGGGGTCGGATTCTAATGGGGACACTGGAGGTTTTAATGGAACAATCATAGGAAAATATGGGAAGAAACACATGAAAATCCTGAAGCATGATGAAAACTATATACAGTAAGGGTTTTAATGGGTTTTTGATGGGGTTTGTTTAACGATCCAAATAACTAGTTCAAAAGATGGGGATATAATTACCAAAGATGGGAATTTCGAGTTGAGAATATTGATATGCTTGATTTTGAGTTGGCTAGGTTAGTTTATAAGTTTGATATTTGAGTTTATGGTAGATCAAAGTAGTTCATGGGGATTGCAAAGCAACGAACATGACTCTGGGGGCACGGGCGTGTCCCTGGAAAGGGGGATGAAGAGGCTGGGGAGAAATTGTGGATGAAGTCATTGCAAAGGCCTTAGTGAAAACTGAATGGGTTTTCTTGAGGTTATGAAACGTCCTTTGCCAAAATCCGTCAAAATCCCAGAAAATCCCAATTTTTCCTAGGCCAGATATGGCCAGATCCCCATCGCAGATGTTGGATGTTTCAGGCTTTGGACGAGGCCGTAGAAGCTACGTTGTCGGAGGTCAAGGGCGCCAGTTTGCGCGCGAAGCTGGGCTCTGGTTATCGGATCAGCGCCAAGAACTGGATTCTGGATACCTTGTGGGGATTTAAGACAGCTATTTAGGTTATACGGTATAGGTATAGGATAGTGGCATATAGTGGCATTGATGCCCCATTTGGTTCGATTACTGTATAATCTGTATAAGTCCCTCTTCAGTCTCTTCAAATTCAAAATGGTGATTTCCATAGGTATGTTCCATGACTAGAGGGTAAAGATTGGCTTCCACCAGCCAAAGTACTGAGCTAGTCATGATTTCTGACCCCAAGCATAGTCGGGATATCTCGGGCATTTTGTCCAGCCACAAGGTGCTTATAGTTTGCAACGCCAGTGTCCTCTCCGCAGCGGTTGATAAGTTGGGGCGCTACCCCCACTGAAACACAATTTTTTCAAAGACAACTAAAGATAAAGACAATCTTTTTCACCTATAGGACGAACAGCTGCTGTAGTGGTGCCATGTGGTGCCAACGGGTCTCACCCAGACCTATGGTTTGAAAAAAAAGGCCTTTTTCGAAGAGCGAGTGGTCTTCACATGTTTTTTGTGGCATGTTCGCCATCCTCCTATCCACCAAGGGTCTTGCCGTCCATCAACAGCTTGCACCAACTCTTTTTTTCCACGGTAGCCCGGTGGATGGGGGACGGGTTGATCATTGATCGGACTTGTGGGAGCAGTTGAGACAAATGGGTATGGTCCCATGGTGAACTAAAGCCCCATGAGTTGGGATAGAAGCCATATAACTATTTTATTATAGTTATGAAATGTTATGAATATTTCCATCCACTCATAACTGGAACTGCACTTCTAATCGAAGTTGAATCCTGTGGGGCCACTTGAACGAATTTTCGAGGTATCAACTGAGTCAACCTGGTGCCAGGGTTTGCAGGCAGCCTTCGTCAAGCCACCGCTTCACCTGACATTACCTGAGAGATGGATTTGTACAGGATCAAACGGGTTCCAACACCATTTGCCAGGCAACCTCTCCACTTCTGATTCGTTCCGGCTCCACAGGTGATGCTGCACTGGAACCTCCACAGTAGCACTCTGCCGGCCTCGCAGAAGCTGAGCTTCCAGGCCTGGTTGGCCTTGAACCGCCCCATGGCTGGCAATGTTGCCCCAGGATTCATCACTCCTCAGTTTTTTAGGACTGGTACCATTTTTAGTCGTAATTACGTAATTTATAAATATATGTATCACTATTTTTTTTGGGCTATTTGGTGGCTAGTTTTGCATATACGCTTTCAACAGATGCCCTCTGGTACTCAAACATGGCAACGGAAAAATCCCATCATTTTCCTATGGCAAGCCCCATCTGGAGATTTCTCACCCAGCCATGTTTGATGGAGGGTACCATCTCTGAGGAAGTGGTACCAAGGACCTGGTGGGCCTGGTGGGCCGGGGGCGGCTGAGAAATGGGAATCATTTTCGTACGTCCAAATATGTTGCCATATATTTCCATATACCCTCTGGTTATGACTAGCAGTTCGCCATAGTATAGATGGCCCATAGAAATAGATGGTTTACCTATTAAAAATGGTGATTTTCCATGGCTATGTTAAATAACCAGAGGGTATGTTGTTCAGGACTGTTCTTTTCAAACACAGAATGGAGCAACGAAGCATGCTGTGGCAATCATGGTGGTTCAAACCCATAAACCCCGCCCCCCGCCTCGCCAGTCGTGTGAAACGTCCTAGGAGGATGTGCCAGAGTGGCTACTGGAAAATGTCTACAGCACCATCTCCAAGGCTCCAATTCAGGAGTTATCCTTGGATGAGACGCTGTACCAGTTTCTCGATATGGAATATGGGGAGTCCATATTTTGTCGGCAAACATCAAGGGAATGCTGGTGCTTGATGTTCACTACAGGTTTGGTCAAGGTCGAATTGGGATATAATTAGGGGAACCACACAGTGAGGAAGGCGGCCATTGTGATGGAAAGTGGAGGGTCCGAAATTGTCAAGTGGATGACCCGTTCTGCCAGCCCAGAGAAGGCTTTGAGCATCTCTGCATGTTTTCTTGTGCTAGCAACCTGATCCAGCACCGCCACCGCGAACTTGTTCTTTTTGAACTTTATGTTACAATGAGAAACCATCCAAATTTGGGAAATTTTGAGAGCCCAATTTTCAAGGCAAAGATCCATTCGAAGCCCGGCAGCAAATATGGCACTGGGGCTGCCGCGTATGGTCGCGTATGGTGAATCTGAAGATTTTTGGGTAAAGGCCTGTAGGAAATGCTCAGGTACCCTCTGGTAATTTAACATAGCTATTGAAAATGGCCATTTTTAATGGGTAAATCCACTATAAATGGCCATTTTCAATAGCTATGTTAGTTTACCAGAGGGTACCGCAAATCCTTGGTGTTCTTTCCATTCCTTTTCCAATTGGAAGAACATGAAGAACCGATCATCTTCAACCGAAGAGCAATACAAGATCTACAAGGCATGATTTCTATTGGGGCAACGGGGATCAATGGGCTTATTATTACCATAGTGATCCATATTGTACATTTACTCCAAGGCCTCCCTCAGCAATTCTGTCCCGCTTTTCTACGGAGCCCGAAAGCTAAGACCTGGAGTCAAGCCGGCTGCATGTGGCCGCCAAAGTGGAAGGATGGGTCAAGGTCCAAATGGGCCGCTTTAGGGCGCTTTAGGGCCTTTAGGGATTTGCCCAGGAGGTATCACTGAAGTTACGCCAAGATTTCAGATTTTCCAACTCTTCCTGCTTTGGATTGAAGGGACGTTTTGAAGGGACACTTGAGTTGAATTACACCCTACAATCACCCTAGACATGGGTCAAAAATGCTCAAAATCTATCGTATTTTCCGATTCTGGGATCGTGATTTCTATTCGGCTCTCATTTGTTTTGGTGTGAATCTTCCCCTGTACGTCCTGCACCTATCATATATCATAGTATATAAATGTATATAATGTATCATATTCCCACCTTATGGGTAAAAAGTCATCTATAGTCAATTGATAATCAATAACACTTGGATTACTGTGTGATTCTTTTCAAAAGCACACTGATCCTTTCTGGTGCAGCGAGCAAGATTGAATTCAGTTGACATGGCTGGCCCGGTCGGGCTGCATATGGATTATGATATATATCTGGGTAAATTATAACGACCTCACTGCGACCTCACTGGAATCATGGCTTATAAGGGAAATCATTCCCAAATGGCCTTAATTCAGGTTAGTGAAATATAATATTTTAACCATATATATATATATGTATGTATAATCATCCTGAAGTAGGAAGGATATCGGATTTTCAAACATCTTCCCATTGTAGTGAGGTTTTTTCGACATTTCCATATTCTACTCCAGGAGGACTATATCATTATATATATATAGTGTATGTATATATATCCCATAGGATCCATGTATGCTATATATGGTAACATTTACCATCAATATACCCCCAATGTTAGCATATATACCAGCACCATGGATCCTATGGGTATATATATATATATTAATGGCTTACGCAACTATCAAGTTGTAAATCCACCAGTGAGGGAACCCCTGCTGACTCCCTGGCACCTCGAGAGGTCCGCGGGGACGCGCCAGAGCTGCCAACCGTGCCGGGCTTTGCCAAGACCAACTTCGTGGCATCGCGGCTGCAGCGGGAATTTTTTCATGGGAAAATCATCGGAAAAACCCATGGAAAAACCTGGAGTTGAATGGGATTTACTGGGATTTTTGGACTTGAATTTGGGGCTTTTCATGGTATTTTACTGGAGTTTAATAAGATTTCGTTTTTTTTTAAATTTGGGATATAGAATGATATAGATAGTGATCTTCAACGGAAAACATGGATGATCATTGAGATTTTCACGGATTTGAATTCCCATGATCATTGGGATTGTATACCGCACAGTTGGGATTAACTTCGGGATTAAAGATGTTACTGTAATGGGAAGCATTTTCAATGGATTTGGATTATTATAATAATTTTGGGTGGCTTTTCATGTATGTTTATAATCATCTATATCTATATGTATATTTCGGCAGAAGCCTTACGATGGCAAACTTGGGTATAGAAAGTGGAGGTACTGTGCCATGAGGCCACATGTTATCACAGAAACAGGGTCATACTCGATCCCTTGAACTGCTATGCCCAACAACCCAAAGATATCTATAAAGAACTTTATAAAAAACCTTATTGGACACATCATTGGCAATTGATCCCCTTCATCATTGCACTTTCAGGGATGCCCAGTGGTGGGACCCCATTCTCGCAAGGCCCCCAGCTTGCCTGATCCCACTTCGAGGTTGGATATAGTTAGAAAAGGTTACACGGTTACACCATTTTAATTTGCACCCCCAAAAACAGATAGAGCAATAACATATGATTCTAAACTAGATCTAGAGACTAGATATGGTTTATGTGATGGAATTGGATGGATTTTTTGTCATATTTTGTCTATATTTGTATACTTTAAATAAAATGTAGCCATGTTTTTTGGCCATATCCAAATATTCCAACTATATAATCCAATATCCATTACAGTATATAATCCAACTAGTCCATTAATCTTCTCTGGTTGGTGGTTTGGAACATGGCTACTTTTTTTTTTCCTCCATATATTGGGAATGTCATAATCCCAACTGACGAACTCATATTTTTTCAGAGAGGTTGGTGGCTCAACCACCAACCAGTTCTTAATTAACCATCATTTACCATCATTAACCACCATTATTTAGCGACCATCACTAAACCATTGGTTGTTTCAACAGGGGATATCCATTGGATGATCCAAGGAATGCATCCAGATGACGCAGATGATCAGTTCCTTGGCGAGATCCGTAAGGAATGACGACTCGATGCTCGTTCCTTCCCAGAGTTTACCATCGACATTTTTTCTCGCTGGTTTACATCATGTTGAATTCTGATGTATCATGTTATATACTGTTATATATGACAAATAAATGAATAAATGTGTGAATAAATAAATAAACACACACACACATATATATATAATCAAATATACACACGCATTGTTGCAGTATAAGTGTAAATGATATGAAATGATATAATTTATATTTATATAGGTACATGTTTACAGTAAATAAGGATCGCCCGCCCCCAGGTGAAGCCACTTCAGCTCGACTGACCGCCCGTGCGGCCCTGCAGGCGGGTCGCTTCAGAAATGGGATGATTGGGATGATCATTGGGTTTACCATAGGAAAATGGAGGTTTACCCTCTGGTAAACTGTTACATAACTATAGAAAGATCCACCCATGCTATCAATGGGTAAATCCACTATTTCGACTGGGCCATGGCTTCAATATTTCTATGGCCTATGGCCATTTTCAATAGCTATGCAACAAATTACCAGAGGGTAAATGGAATAACTGATAATGAATGGTGTTTTCATGGAATACAATTATGGTTTGAATCAAAACAGTGGCGGTAAAACTGGTAAAATTGATCATAATTGGTAAATGGGACCAAACCACAGTTATGATCAGTTATGTACCGGGTAAATATGGGTAATGGGCAGTGAATTCTCCGCTTTGCTGACTGGAATGCACATCCTTCCCCGTGTTCCAAGCGGGTCTCAGGACAGGGCCCCAGGAAAGGTGCTTGGCCGGTCTCATTGAGTTTTTTAAGTGGTTTTGGAATACATGGACGACGTGATCGATTTGATTTGATGTTGTTTGTCCGCCAATTGCGGGCTTACACCCCTGCAATTTGATGGCGCCATTTCAGGGAGAAGGGACTTCGAGCCATGGAACCACAGTTGGTCTACTATGGTCTAGCTGCATTGACATCCAACATGTTTTAGCACGGAATTCCCACTTGAAAGTCCACCTGACTTCCCTAGTTCCATCTAGTTCCTAAAAAACTGGCCAACTTGATGGTTTCCACCTGGCAATTTTCCAGGGAAATCCCTCAATCAAACCATGGAAATCCCATGGAAATCCCATGGAGGATTTCCCATGGAAATCCTCCTGGGAACCATCCCCTGGGAACTCTGCACTGAGGACACGACCGAGGATTCTGTCAGCTTGGCGAGTTTTTTCATGGGCGGATTCACAGAAACCTCACTGGATGGGTACTGATTAAAATCCATGGGAAAATCCTGTTGGTTTTTTGCTGTAAATGGAATATGGATGAATATGGCCAATAATAACATAGTAATAACATAATAACCAATAATGACCATTGGAAGATTTCTGTGGACTATCAAAGATTGATCCTGTTCACCTTAACATGGGATATTTCAATAAGCTATTTCAGCTACGCGGATGTTGGTTCAAGGCCGTGTCACCACCAAATATTTGGTATCCTGCAATAGTTAAAATCATCCTAATTGAACTGCAGTATCTTTCAAGCTACAACTGCACTCCGCCAATTAAACGTGGCAAAGGGAAATCCCCTAAAATGCAGGCTTCAATCGGATAGAACATCATCTACAAATGGGGGATCTTCCATTGCCATGTTTATCAGGGGGATTCAGGGGGTATATTTGAATGTTTCGAGGGTCATCAGAAACAAGGACCCAAGGCTGGTTGATCTTCCCAAAACCTAGCCTCAGCTGCAGTGGTTCTTACGCCAAGGGAAGAAGGATCCAGACAAGGTGGTGCCTCCTAATTATCCTAACTGTATCAGGAGGAATTGGGAATCATTCGAACTATTCATATTGGCTTATCACCACCAGCCAACTGTTAAGCTAGCTACCCTCTGGTAAACTATCATACAGTAACTATTGAACAACACCATGTTTTATGGGTAATTCAACTATTTCGACTGGGCCATTTTCAATAGCTTTTTGTCTGTTTACCAGGCCGGGTATGCCAGCTTGGGAAGCCACCTGGGATAACCTGGAGTTCGGCCCATTGCCGCCAGGCCCTTTGGGTGTCCCTGCGGGGTCCCTTGCTCTTCTTCTGCCGCGAAAACGCGCCACTGAAACCCTTTGCCTTTGTCCATTTGAAGAGTTGGCTCACTGACGCCCGGCCATAAACTTAACAGTTCAAGTTGGGGGTCATTTTTTTTACATCGTCCCAGTCATAGGGGTTTCTTGCTAATTTCACAAACCTCAAACACTTGGAAACTTTGTTTATGGCACTGGGTTTACCACATGATTCTTGGCTGTTGGAATGGGACTAGAATTGGGCTTCTCCCCCCAGAAGTTGGCCAAAACCGGGTTTGAAGTTTTGGCCACAAAAAGCGTGCGACAATGGAAACAAAGGAAACCCGCCCAGCGACGGCAAGAATTGGACAACTGCTGTGAATGAACTTTAGGTGGCACCATCTATCAAAAGATATAGAATTCAGACAGGGTCGCATCAAAGGAGATCAGGTATCACACAAATTTCATGAAATTCTTGGCATTTTCATGCATTTTCTACATGCCCCCCCTGCTCCAAAATATCCAACGGACATAGATGTCATGGATCACTCTCGCCGCGTCTCGCCTCAGGATGTCGACCCCGCCAGGTGGGGAAACAACGGACTTGACACGTCGGATTTGCGAAACCAACAGTGGATGAAGGGAAATTTTCGACAGGCAAAAATCGCCCCCGTTTCGCCCGAGATTTTTGGGTCAAAAACAGAGTTTCCTGTACATTTTCCCTCTACTCGACTGGCATTGTTTTCCGTGGCATTTTTTTGGAACTCAATGCAAGTTCGAAGTGGTCAAAGTTGCAGTTCTGGCTTTTTGTGTCACCTCATTTCTTAGCTCATTGTAGGTTGACCGGCAAAGCCTTACTCTACAGGTCAACGTTCACCTTGCAGGGCCAACATGTGGAGGACTGGGAGGTTTTATTTATCTTGGGTTGATCATGTTGGTAGACGACTAACTCATAGCCAACTTGATATCTCTATCAACTACAGATACAAACACTGATGATAAATCATTGTTGTTTTTTTTGGTCGGCAGATGGCGGCCTGGCTTTTAGAATCCAATGCTGCTGATTCTATTGGAAGAGGTTGAAACATATTCGTGCCAGACTCTAAGCAATCAACGGAAAGGGGAAAAGCTTGTGTTGAACATTGGGCAGAGATCGTGAAAAAACATGAAAAAACATGTTCAACACAATGTCGCGTTGCGACCGTGCCATGAATATCCTTGGACAATGATGATGATGTTGATGATGATGATGATTGTGAGATATTGTGATGATGGTGATTGATTTTGCAGGCATTTAGTCACACTTATCGTTTGCAAAGCTCAGAGAATGCACTGGGAGAGGTAGGTCAAGCACCGCATTTTATCCTTGGCATAATTAGTTGCAAAGAAGCAAATGGGTACAGTAGTTGATAAGACCTTACTTGTACCTTGATATGCATTGCTCAATCACGGTTGAATCCTTTTAGGTCCGTCTTTTTTTCCAATTATCATTTTAGGATTATTTTTACAAGACACCCCTTATTTATATATATATATTTGTACACACACACATACATATATATATATATATATGTGTGTGTGTATATACGTTATATATCACGGGGAAGATCCTTGTTCTCCTGTTGATCTTCCCATTTCTCGCATCGAAAAAAGGGGCCCGCCGTGCCCCTCGTCCCCAGGATGGAAATTCAGAGAAACTGCAGCTTATCGTCCTGCTTCCGGACGGTCGATGCTTGGTAACGACAGCAAAGTCGGGAAACTTTCCCCCTCTGGCAGCAAATTAACAGTTTGACCCTGAAAATAGTCATGATCTAGTTGAAACTCATCTTCCAACCCTGATGACTTCCAGGGTCGAACTGTTAATTTACTAAAGGATAACGATGTTTCATGATGATAAATGACAGTGAATTGTGGTTACATAATGAGACATGAATAGAAATGATAAATGCCTGGTGGTTCATGATGAGAAATGAATGATGATGAATGATGATAAATGATGATAGTTGATGATAAATGCCAATTAATTATATAATTGTGGTTACATAATGATGAGAAATGATGATAAATGATGATTGCCAATAAATGCCACTAAATTACGCTTATATAATGAATGATAAATCATAATCAATGGTGGTTAATGGTTATCATCAACTTTTTTGTGATCTTTCAGACTTGTTTGACAGTGTAAACATTTTTGAGCTGAAATTACAAAGGAAGAGCCATCGCTGTCCAGTCTATCCAGGCGTTTTTGGTTAACCCTCGGATGTATGTCCCTCCCAATTTTATCCAATTTTCCGGTTTTAGCTGTATTTGTTATACTACATGCATGTTACACTGATACATGTATACATATATACATTTAAATATATACATGCATTTGTAAGTGGTTCAACCGTTGCAGCCCTCAGTTTTTGAAGACATGCGGCAACTCGATGGATTCGAGGATTTCAAGCCTTTGATTTCCTGAAATTCGTCTTCGGCGTGTGCGATGCCTCACAGCTCGCCGAGTGGATTGAAGCCCTGACGGCCCTGAAAGAGCCGGACGCGTTGGGGGAAGACATCCCCGTGTGAGCGAAAAAGTGCGGCTGCGACTTCGGTTTGGATGAAGCCCTTGGACACAGAAATGGCCAGAATCAGTGTGGGATTGATGTAGTACCAGTTGTCTTCAACTGTGTTTGAAGTCTTCGAATTTGAATGCAGTAGCTGCTTTATCTTGATACTCTTTTTAAGGGTCCTCTTGCTGGATTGCAGTTGCTAATTGCTTAATTTTCATTGGAAGGATTGCCACCAAACAGGTAGACGGGCTTGAATCTCCTTGATGTGTGATTTCTGCAGGTTCCTGTGTGGCAAATTTCAGGTGGAAACAACCAATGTCAACAGCCAATCAAAATCAGCTACGATCAAACATGGCAATGGGCAATGCATCAGGAACACATCTGAAAGCATACCAATCTGATACATCTTATGCTTATCATATCTTAGAATTAGATGATGTTTCTGTATTATAACTATATAGTTTATGGTATATCATGGTATATCTATTATAGTTAATGGATGTTAATGATTAATGGGATTATAAACCAACTTCCATATTTCCCGTGGAAAAGTCTGCCTTTTCCCTGGCGGCCCGCCATGACAAATTCATGGCAGGACGGCCGGCACCTCACAGCGCGGCGAAACCGGCGGCGTTTCGCCACGCTGCTGTGGGCGTCGCTGGGACTCAGCATCCAAGTGTCAGTAACCTGCAGATCCCATGAACATCCATTACCATCTGGTTATGACTAACATAGCCATGGAAAATCACAATTTTTAATAGGGAAACCATCTATAAATTATAAATGGGTCATTTTCCATATAAATGGGTCATTTTCCATGGCTATGTTAAATAACCAGAGGGTAACTATACGTAGATATCCCATTCGAAAAAGGGAAAACCGTAGAAAAAATCCCATTCAAAGCAGCATTATACAGTGGAATGCTAAAGTCGTGCCTAAAATTTGGAAATCATCGTAAATAGCTGGGGAGCACTTGATTTGAAAAGTCGTGCCTTTTTAGTAAAACGCATAGGAATTGCAATGTTTTGTTGGATTTGGTCTTTGGAATAGTTTTTGTTAATAAATCTTGCGTTTAGGTTGTGTTTAGCATCAAGAGTACCTTTTCCATATTGTTAATAAATCTTGCGTTTAGGTTGTGTTTAGCATCAAGAGTAACCTTTTCCATACCAAGTCAAACTGGATGTGAGTGTAGCGATGAGTTGGTGTTTCTATCTTTTTCTTTCCAGTGTGCTGCGGCAGCCATTTTCACTTTTCACTGCGTGCTCAACGCGGCATTGTGGCACTTCAGCGTGTTGCTTGAGATGGAGGTGAGAAGGGTCATTGTTGTGTCGTCGTGTCGGTTTTAGTTTCTTATGTGGTTCCGCAGGCGGGTGGGCAGAGAGCCTTTCTTGTTATTTTTGACGTCGTTTGCTACGTCGTTCGGACGTCGTTCGGCACGTCGTGGTTTCAAAAATAGGAAACTTATAGGAGAGGTTGGTTGTTGTGAATCACGGATGGCAGAGCGAAGCCACTGATGGACCGAGAGCAGCAAAGCGAAAAGAGTCAGCAAAGCGAAAAAAGTCAGCGGACCGAAGCGGCAAGTATTTCTCAACCCCAGAAACATGAACGGTAGAATGCAACTGTAGACGGATTTTTGCGAACATTTGATTTTCCCAAGTGTGGAAACATTCTTCTTATACATACGCGATTCCATGGTGTTTTGAGATTTGGGCATGACTTAGGCATGAGTTTCTTGAAACAGCGATTCCATGGTGATTTACTGGCAAGTTTTGACCCAGGCATGAGTTAGGCATGAGTTTGTCGTTTGACTGTATGGCTATGGACCAATACCTATACCATTTTTAGTGGGATGAACATCCATAAATCCCAGCTATTTTGATGTGAACAAAAAAGGGGTACAAGGTTTTGACACACTGCTATATATATAAATCCCAGTAAACATAGGGAATCAACACGTGTTTCTGCCAAGCAGCATGATCATCGCGAAAAACTTACCGCGCTGCAGGCGACGGCGACCCTGGCTCTGGGTGCCAAGAGGTGGGGCATGGTGAAGTCTGGATCATCCTTGGTTGGATCTTCAATCCTTTTGCGATTTCATGGGTAAAATTACCCTCTGGTTATGACTAACAGTTTGCCATGGTATAGATGGCCCATTTATAGTTGGTTCACCTATTAAAAATGGTGATTTTCCATGGCGAACTGTTAAATAACCAGATGGTAGTCCTAACCAGCTAAGACTTCGATTTTTTTGGCAGGTATCTAAGATTTACGGTGGATTTATTTAAAAAAAATAGAGTGCATGGATGATACCTGCTGACATTTTTATGATTGAGTTCCATGGATTTGATTGGATGAATGGTTTTGATCATCATTATGTCCAATTTTGTCCTGATTGACATTGTTGTTTCGGGGTATTGTGGATCAAGTCATATAAAGCCTAATGCTCAGCTCATGCAAGAATTATATATCAGGATTTTTATTCCAAATAGGAGAGGGACAGATGGGGAACTTTCCAAAAGTCGCACCTTTTGTTTCATTGTGGAACACGGACTGAACACGTTAAATTCAATTTCGCATGGCTTTGATTGTTTTTTTCTGCAGGCACCTGCTTCGATCTCCTCAACTGCTAGTCCTTTTGGCTCAACAGAAACATTCGAAGTCGCTTCAGCGTGACGTTGTCGACCATGGCAGCAGTTTTCCCAGCCAACCAGGCCAGGCAGCCCATATCTTGGGGATGACTGGCAGACCCACCAACCAGCCTCCACTTGGATGTTCTTTGAACTGGTGCTCTAACTATGGCAACATGCACTTCCTTGCAACCCCAAATGTTCTTGCAGATTTATGGAGATGTAACCCAGGTAAAGTCAATCCATCACATATCCATGAAACAGATATCCATCAAACATCATAAATATCATCAAATATCATCCCCGGCCGGTGATAGCCTATAGAATGGGGATCTTTTACAATTATGAAATGGTTTTCCGGACAGCCATTATATAGGAAGGATGGTTGGGGTGCACTGTGGCCTCCTTTTGCAAGAGTTGGGTTCATCATTTTATAAGGCCCGCACTGCCTACTTGCAAACTCTTCCTTTTTCAAGCATAAACTTTTGCAAAGAAAATCCCTTCACTTTATAGGTGCCAAACGGTTTGGTGAATCAAATTTTATTATAGACACCCCGCTGACCTTTGCAAAGAAATTGTCCTCATTTTATAGGTATATGGTTGTGCTAAGTAGAGCATGGTGCACCATTTTTTGTGATACTAAATTCTATTGATATATATATATGTATTTATATTTATATTTATGTTGAACATTTGTTGTTTTTGATGTTTTCAAAGAATGTTTGATTTATTTTGAGACGTCATAGATTGACAAGAATGGGGGGGCAGGGGGATCACCAAAAAAAACATTAAAACAAATTCAAAACATTTTGAAACCCACACTGGCACCTATAAAATGCCTTGCAAAGCTTGTACAGACCGCATTTAGTGTTCAACCAATTTTCCTTTCTTTACCTTTGTCCCAAGACTTTGGAAAAATTACATTATTAGAGTATATTAGAATCAATATTCTGACATGTTATCTGACATTTTCTCTGAGACATATTTTGACATTCTATCTGGCATCTTCTGTAGCATAAAAAATGCATATAAAATAAGCATATTGCAGCACATATTCAAATTCACGAAAAAATGAAGTTTTTTTCATTTAATGGTATTGCTAATGGTATATGATCTATAATATTTGAAATATTTATAATATATATTTCTTCACTTTGATTATATTCAACATTGATAATATATATGTTCTACAATATTAATTCTTCAGGTACAACATTTGTCTTAATTTGTTGTATAGATATTTTTAACTCACAATTAAACATATTATAAGAATACACATATCAAAAAGTAAAGAGCCCATAAAATATCATTTTTAATTTTCAAACGTTACAAAAGTACCTTTTCCTGTTTACGCATTTAAATATGACATGTTTCACTTTCTTGTTGCGGCTTTTCCGCTGTGTCTCTCCCCTATAGCCTTCCCCCTTGGGGCCTTTCCGGGTCGAAGTCCTCGAGCCGCTGGGGCTTCCCCCTTCTTGTGTTACCCGACAGAAAAGAGGCAATGACAGGGTTTTGGTAGCCTGCTTTTTTTAAAGTATTTCTTATTAAGCTGCAAAGGCGAGACCTTTTCGATGCCATGAAAGTAAGAAAGCAAAAATTGCCGCAAAACTTGTACAGTGTGTTACAGACCGCAGAGTGAATGCTGCACACCCAAGCTACCACCTATAAAATGCCATGCAAAGCTTGTACAGACCGCAGAGTGAATGCTGCACACCCAAGCTACCACCTATAAAATGCCATGCAAAGCTTGTACAGACCGCCGCAGAGTGAATGCTGCACACCCAAGCTCCCAACTACCACCTATAAAATGCCATGCAAAGCTTGTACAGACCGCAGAGTGAATGCTGCACACCCAAGCTACCACCTATAAAATGCCATGCAAAGCTTGTACATACCGCAAGTGAATGCTGCTATAAAATGCATGCAAAAGCTTGTACAGACCGCAGAGTGAATGCTGCACACCCAAGCTACCACCTATAAAATGCCATGCAAAGCTTGTACAGACCGCAGAGTGAATGCTGCACACCCAAGCTACCACCTATAGAATGCCATGCAAAGCTTGTACAGACCGCATTTAGTGTTCAACCAATTTTCCTTTCTTTACCTTTGTCCCAAGACTTTGGAAAAATTACATTATTAGAGTATATTAGAATCAATATTCTGACATGTTACCTGACATTTTCTCTGAGACATATTTTGACATTCTATCTGGCATCTTCTGTAGCATAAAAAATGCATATAAAATAAGCATATTGCAGCACATATTCAAATTCACGAAAAAATGATGTTTTTTTCATTTAATGGTATTGCTAATGGTATATGATCTATAATATTTGAAATATTTATAATATATATTTCTTCACTTTGATTATATTCAACATTGATAATATATATGTT